CCTGGATTTGGGTGATGAACACTTTCCTCCTTCAAACTTCGCATAACAGTAACTCATTCGCAAATCTGCAGCATAAATTCAAGAGGCCCTTCAGTTGCTTTCTTACTAAATCACTAAATTGTTAATGTATAATAGTGAATAAGAAATAAGCCATCCCTGCCCTCGCTGATGTTGCTCAGTGGTCAGAACATCGACCTTGTGCATTGAAGGGTTGAGGGCTCGATTCTGGTCAGGGGCAGGTACCTGGGTTGCAAGCTCAATCCCCGGCCGTGGTTGGGTGCATGCGCGAGGCAACCAATTGATGTGTCTCTCTTAAATAAATGTCTCTCTCCCCCCCGCCCCATCCCTCTCTTCTACTCTCTCTAAAAATCAATGGAAAAAATATCCTCAGGTGAAGATTATATATATAAAAAGAAAAAAACAAGCCATCCTGTTAAATGTGTTCTCTTCTCATGACTATAGAAACACCCCTTAAGTCAGTGGTTCTCAACCTTCTGGCCCTTTAAATACAGTTCCTCATGTTGTGACCCAATCATAAAATTATTTTTGTTGCTACTTCATAACTGTATGTTATGAATGTTGCTACTGTTATGAATCGTAATGTAAATATCTGATATGCAGGATGGTCTTAGGTGACCCCTGTGACAGGGTCATTCTACCGCCAAAGGGGTCACGACCCACAGGTTGAGAACCGCTGCCTTAAGTGATTATAATAATAACTGAGCTGAGTCTTCATAGTCTAGGTAGCTTTTGTAGTGAAATATGGACAAATCTATGTGACTTTCACCATATTATTTCTCATTTTTGCCAGTTTTCCCAAATAACCTGATGTAAATAATAAAAATGTAGATTGTCACATTTCAAACCTGATATCATCAGAGACTTCAGGATGGGGACATCCAAAGATGGAATCATTCATGAGTACCTTTCACTGGGAGCTCTGCTTACACATGTCTGGGATAACACTTAGCAAGCACACTAGGTGAAGGGAGACCTCCCAGCTCTAGTACTTACTGTGGCACCACACTTTGCTGTTTATTCTATGTCCCCTAAGCCCTGGAGACAAAATAAAACCCCAGATTCCAGGCACAGAGCAGATAAAAACATGGCAATTTTGTGGACTGGAAAGAACACAGTACAATGGTCATCTACTGCAGCAGCTGCTCATGCAGTTGCTATCTGCAAAGTGGATGCAGATTTTACACATGAACATGCACACAAACACACACGCCAACAGAAGCTTGTTTAGCTTAACAGAGGGAGAGGGAAGGTAAAGAGGAGGGCAGGGAGAGGAGTGACTGAGAGGGAGAACATCCTCTCTTTCAAAGAATATATTTCTTTAATATTGATTATTTCTTGGTGACTCCAACATGGAATATGGGATCTAGTTCCTACAAAATTCTCCAACATTGTGCGACATAATTTTGGCAACTGACTTTTCCATTTCTTACAGTGCAAACTGAGTGACTCTAAAAAGTGAGCTCATCCAAGAGCCTGGAGTGTGTTTTCCCTCAAACTTGTCTTCCAGAGCCTTGCAAACTCCTCTCTAGTTACACAGAGGCAAAATCTGCAGGTTTTAACGAAATGCTTTCATATCCATTCTGCACAATTCCCCTTTTATATTTTTAATCAGGTCTGCTCTCTCCTGTTAGTTTTCCAATCTCGGGTAGCATACTATTATAGTCACCTATGCATTTCTGTTCAGACATTTTTTCTTGCTTTTATTTCATGACCAATGAGACAATGTAAGAATAACTGAGTTGTCAAAGGTCATATCAGAAAAATTTTCAGGAATTAAAGTAAAAATATCTATCTGCCCGTTTATCTGATTTATGAGGCTCTGTTAAGTCAAATTCTATTGGCCTCCCCAATGAACTTGTTCAACTTTTTCAGCCAACTTTTCCAGATAAACTCTCTCCCTAGTTTCTACTTCACTTCCATATCTGCTATAGACAGGACCTCACAGGCACCCTTCAGTCAACTACTCTTCGGAAGGTCAAGAGCAATTTAAAGGCAGTCCTCATCCTACAGCATGTCTGCCAACCAAATGTTTGCTTTGCTGAGAAGCTTCAAGATTTAACAAATGATAGTTCCCTGAATGACACATTTAAATCTATATATTGGGAAAGAGAGACAGAGAGAGAGAGAGAGAGAGAGAGAGAAAGAGAGAGAGAAAGAAACAGAGATTAGTTGCCAGGGATTGAACCCAACATCTGGGTGTGTGTCCTGACAGGGAATTGAACATGCCACCTTTTGGTGTACAGGATGATGCTCCAACCAGCTGAGCCATACAGTCATGGCAAGGACACCTTTTGACTTGCTTTACTCTTCAAGTTCATTGTCACTCTCTCAAAGTTTTGAGTTTATCGGCCCTGTTTTTGTAATTTATGCCTACAAATGTCTTAAGATATCATTTAGTGACTACTCGCCAATATGTCTCAATACATTAAAGCTTAATTCCTTCCTTTGTCTTCCAGCTTGTAATGTTTCTTTGAAACCTAGACACGTGCATGTTCTAATACTAGTCTGTTAACATGTTCATTCTCTCTTCCTTTTATCATTGACCCTGTTCCTCAGCCCAGTCTCCCCAACCCTACTCCATCACCCCACCCACCCCTGGGAAAAAAAATCCAGGCTTTACACAGAGGCTCAAACACAGGACATTTAGGGTGAGCCTAAGTGACAAATTATCTTCACTGAACTTTGTAAGTGGGAGTGGCTCATTTACATCTGTGACCTCCAGGTGCCAGGATCCATCACATTTGTTCTTTCATAGCATTATCAGTAGTTCTGCGGCCCTTTCTCATTTCATGGGCAATAGAAGCCTGACTCCTATTCTTATAAGAAAAACCTGGGTCTCTGTTCCCTGGCTCCAGTGAAATCTGTGCTCTGTGGGAGATTTCCATTTGCTTGTGGTGATTCTCTAGAATTGGTTTATTAATCAAAGGTGTCTTGCATTGGGAAAGAGAACTGTGGCTTGCCCACACACTCTAACTAGGGCTCCCTGGGATGCCTGTTTACCAGTCCATCTGCAAAGAGCCCTTCATGACCTTTGAAATTGCACCAGAACTACAATAGTCGCTTTCCCTGCTTGCATTCCTCAATTCTGGTGCTGCCTCTTGGAGCTGAGCAGGTGGCAGGGCTGCTCACAAGCTGGGCTGATTCTTCCTGCGGCTTTAGCTTGCTCTGTGACGGGCCAGTGCAAATTGAATTAATAGCCTCTGAGTTTCCTCTGGCTTGCCGCAAAGGCAGATTCACACCTGGTTTCTCACTACTTTCTTTCCAAACTCGGGCCAACCCAAAGGCACACAAAAACCAGGGAGAAGTTAGAATTTATCGGGCTGGTCTCTACCCTCCAGACCAAGTATCTGCTTGAATCAAGCACCACCCAACCCACAACCTCAAAATCAACCCACAGCCTCCAGTAACTACCTATAAGACCAAACCAACCAGAGAACTCTCAACTCTTTCCTTTCTCACTTTTACATACTAGGTAGCTAAGTGACCAGTTGTACAGTAAAAAGTGAATAGATTAGAATAAGAAGAATACAGTGGGGCCTTGACTTACGAGTTGAATTCGTTCGGAGACTGAGCTCGTATGGTATCTCAAAAAACTCCTTAGTCGGGACACTCGTAAGTCAAGGCCCCACTGTATATGAAGGACTCAGAAAGTAAAAAAGCTCTGTCACCTGTTCAATAAGATTGGTTGGGCAGGTAATTATTGTTGTTCAAAATGAGAAAATGGAGGTTACAAAAGATTAAATACCTTGCCATAGGCGAAACATGGCCATGCTGAGACTTTAAACACAATTTTTAGAATCTTAAGTGATATCCATTGCCTCTCATTTGGTAATATGAAAGGAAAACAAACACATATACACACAAAACCACACAACAAACACACACACAAAACAAACAAAAAAACACACAAGAAAAAACAGAACAACAAAAACAACAAAAAGGCACTGGAGCAGGGCCGGGGTGTGGGGGAGGAGAATTATGTGTGTTTGTGGGTTGTTTTTTTTTCTTGAATTCATTAAACTAATTTGTGAAAATAGACAGACTCACACCATTGCATTGGTAAGTAAAATGTAAACAGTATTCTGGGACACAATACACTGTGTTATGCTTAAGTTCAGGCTCCCTTTTGATTTTTTAAAAAAGTGCACATGTATTATTCCTGCAAACAGACTATGGCCTAGAAAGAATCTTGGTCGGTTCAAATTTATTTCTGTTTTCTTAGAAAACTTGTGATGTAAGGGATGGGCACTATATCCTGGGGACATGTGGGTTAATCGCATTTTTCTGTCTGAAAGCCTAGGTTTTGGCCCATATTTATCTAGGTCACCTCTTCAGGGGCAGAGACTTTGTGGCTGATGGCTGATGGTGCCAGGCTCTGCCACATTCAGTGGCTATTGGCTGATCCCACTCACAGGCCTACCAGCATCTGTGTTCTTAGGGGAGTCTGGGTCTCAGTGCCAGGACAGTTGTTGCACAAGCAACCATAACTTGATGGATGAGTGTTTAACCTTGAAAGTAAAAATGAACTTTCTGACATATGGTAGTCATTAGACCTCTGGGTGAATAAAAACTCTCCATCTTCTCTTTCACAAAGAATCAAAGCTTTGCCATGTTTTAAAAATAAAACCACAACAAATAAACACAGGGTAATGAAAGCCCAAGGCCTTCAAAGGCACTTACCTTGGCACCTTCTTCCAGTAGAGGACAGAGAGAACCCGTCTGGGCACAGGCATTTGAAGCTGCCTTCAGTGTTACTGCATGTGCCCAAGGCACAGATTTCTGGCTCTTCCACACACTCATCAATATCTAAAAGAAGTACACATGTCAAACAAAGTCAAACCATCAGGTACCAGATGCACAATGTGGAAATATGAAGTGTGACTGACTTTCAAAATTCTCCCAGTTATAAGGATACTTTCCTATATCATGTGCTATGGGTAGACGTATAGGCTGTGATGACTTTAAAAATTAGTCTTTGACAGTTCTCCCAAAAATGGAATCGGCAAGTACCTTCTAAGGGACTCAACCAAAAACATCTCTTACCCAGACTATGTTGCTTGGTTAGTTAGAAAAGTTGGAGTAATTCCAACCTCCCCTAAGCTAGGAAAGATGCAACACACCCCAGTCTGGCTTCACCACTGCACACTGAACAGAAGCCCTGAAATTTTAAGTGTGTTGACAATGAGTTACTCAGTGAGAGATCTAGTTTTGAACCAAATTTATTTTCTTCCACTCACCCACATCACTTTTCTCAGTACCTCATGCTATAGCCCTAACTGTGAATTTTACAAAGATACTAACACTCATGGAAATAACCCTATGCAGGACAAACTAATGAGATCACAGAGGATGAGGCTCTGAACTCTCACTTGCAGGTTAATTTTTCTGAAAACACAGAATATCTTCCTGTACTTCTTCTCTCATCTTCCAGATAATAAGAATCTGATATACTTATAATTGTATCATGTTTCCTTCTGCATCTTAGCTATTCTGAAGGAGTGATTAAGGCTGGCCCGAGGTAAAGTTTGAATGGTTTGGGTAACCATAGTCCTAGATTCCCTAAGAGAGTCCCAGCACATGCCTGTTGGCCTGGCCTCATTATTAATGGTGCTCATCCTAAAATTGTGTTGGTTTGGTCATAAAATTACATGACCATCCTACTTATGGAAAATGTATAGCCTCTCTTTCCAACAGATTTGCCCATTGTTTCCCCTTTCAGGAGACATTTGTCATGAAAAAGAGGTCACTCTTGATTCTGAGCTATAATATTTTTATGGAAATACCTTTCTCCCCTTTAAAACACATATCTCTTGCATCTTGGGGCTCTTTATTGTGATGTTTGTACAAAGAGTTCTACCCACACCAAAATGTAGTTGCCTCACACAGCTTCATTCCCAAAGGTCCAACTAAAGGGAAACTAGAAACTTAACTTCTTTATCTTGACAACATTATAAATACCACACGAAAAATGTGGTACTTAGTAATGTGCACTGTGAAGTGATTATCTTCCTGTACAATTCAAAGCCAGCCTCTTCATCACTCCATTTTCTTACATGGAATTTATAATTGCATCACGCTTCCTGTGGTTTATTAACACATCTGAACTGCTGCTGCTGATTCACTCCGTTCCCACACTCCCTCCACCGCAACATCCAACCTTTTCTTAAGAGGAAAGCCAACTTTTGTAAAAATGTCAAACATTTCTTTTTGGTTACTGTTTTCGTCATTGTTGTTATGATTTGTTCTCTTATAGTAGAAATTAACCTGTAAATGTTGAGTTCCTAAGGGGTGGGGGTGGGGGGGGGACGACAAAGACTGTGCAATGGGCACATATATTGACTATTCAGGAAGTTGTTTTTCTTTCTATACATTTCTATTCTGTTCATTCTAGAGGAAGTTTGCAGTAACCATGGAGTGAAAAAAGCCGGTCTTTAAGAGTAAAATAACATGTTTAATAATTTGCACTTTGGCCTACCTTTGATTATATGTTTCCATGTGTAATATTTGCACTTGACTGCAATTTAAATTGGATATATGATAAAATTCCTCATTGATGATACTTAAAGTAGAGACATTTCTTCCTCATTATGGATTAGATGCAGTTCTGCTCAAAGCAGGAGCATGGGCTAGGTGACTTCTTAAGAATCCTTTCAACCCTAGTTATTTTGAAAGTTCTGGCAACTAATGTCTTTCATTTAATGCAATGGCGTATGTACTGAGGAAGGCAGTACTATAAAATTTGCAGAGAATTTATTTGTAGTAACACATTTCCACCTCTCTATAGGTCAAAACAACATAGACACATTATATAGCCACGTGCATCCAACCTTGAATGCGGTCACAAATATTTTAACTGTGTGTGTGTGTGTGTGTGTGTGTGTGTAGAATTACTGTCATTCTACTCTGCTTTTTTTCCCTTTGAGCTTCCAGAAGGAAGCTAATTTTAGTTGCAAACTATTGGCACTTAAAAACAGGTAACTTAAGATATTTTATAAGCTGCATAAAAGCACACTGGAAAAGAGTTAGGGTCATATGACCACCCTTATGTACAGAGAAAATAACTTCATCAGGGATTAGCATGAGAATTAGATGTCCTGTCTCACCATCTGAGGCCATAAGTCACACTCTCTGCTCTTGGATTTGTTTTTGCTAAAGCATTCCAAAATGAAGACATCGTCACACCATCAGAAAAGCTTTGACTCTCATAATGCCAGTGCAGTAACCAATACTACTTATTTCTAAATGCCCTTATACCTTCACACTTGTCATTTTGTAGACTGTATCCAGGTGGACAAATACACCTGTAGGACCCATCTAAGTTCTGACAGGTGCCTGGTGCACATTTTCCGGGTTCTAGAACACATTCATTGATATCTGCAATGGAAAGAGAAAAAGAAGGAAGAGGTTTCAACTGGCATGCTTTCCACCAAGCAATTAAAACTCAAAGAAACTGGGATCAAATCAAAGAAACACACATAAAACTAAATAAAATTAGTCCATGAAACTACCATGGAGAAAAATTAATGACTCAATAAAAATAAGCTTTAACAGCTTTCAGAAGTGTGCAATATGGCAACCACGTTTTATTTAACCTACTATAAATGAAGTATTCCCAGAAAAGTGTAGCATGTAAAAAGTCAACGGATATGAAGATTTTGAGAGCAGCCAAAAAATTCATATAAGAATTTACTACAAAGTTATTTTGAAGAAAATAAATATAAGAAAGGGAATTACAATTGTTTTTAGAATGATTTAATTGTCTAATTCTTTACCAGGTTAACCATTACCTGTGAGTATAATTGAATTTTAAAAGATGAGGGGGGAAAGTGGTATATGTGTTCCTGTGTGTGTGTGTGTAGAATTACTGTCATTCTACTCTGCTTTTTTTCTCTTTGAGCTTCCAGAAGGATGCATGGTGGTAGAGCCTGCATGATTCCTTGGTCTCTGGGATGTTCTTTGGAGGGTCTCGCTGAGAATGGACTCACCCACACAAGTTCTGCCATCCGGAGCCACCTCGTAGCCTTCGTTACACTCACACTGGAAGGACCCCACAGTATTGATGCACTGGCCATTTCTGCAAAGGTTCCCGTTTCCAGTTGCACATTCATCAACATCTGCCAAAAAAATATCCTTTGATATATTCCAAAGAAAATGTCATAATCCCAGCAATGATCAAAACCTTTAAAGGGAAAAACACTTGTTCTGAATTTCAGTGGCCTTTGCTGGCTCAGCCAAACATAAGAAATTCCAATGAAAATCTAGACCTGGCTATAAGTACCTATCAAAACCTAAAAAGATTACACCATTCTATTAATTAGTGATTTATCATTTATATTACGATCTTATATGAGTTTATCTTAATCTTCCTTTAGGTTCAATTTTAAAGGCTAAAACTGAGTTACTAATACACAACACCACTGACGGTATTATTAAGTATTCCCATAATTGGAATTATATTAAATTCGCCTCAAGAACAATATATAGTTGGTTCATTACACTCACTGATGAATAATGGTGCATGTTTTATGAGGAGGTTTTACTAGATTCAATAATTTACTTCTTTTAAAAGAGGCTAGAGGGAAACATGTAGACAAGCAGGTCCACATTATTCATAAATTATGTAATTTTTATACAGAGCATCACTTGCGTATGTTTTAAAATGTAATCATTTCAATTATTTTAAAATTTATTCAATTCACAGCATACCAGGCATAAAAATATAGTTGCTAATAAGCATTTTAATAAAAGTAATGGACGTACATTATTACATATGACATTTAATTAGCATATTCTATTTGACAAATCTTTTAAACAACTGTCATGCATATGACAGCGTATGTTAAAAAAAGATAGCTGGCACACTAGGAATGATGTCAATTCCAAAGAGCACATATGAACTTGACTCCCTTGGTGACTGTTTTGCACACGCACCTATGCAGTCATTGTTGTGAGAGAGGATGAAACCGTGATTGCAGCGGCAGTTGAAGGAGCCAATTGTATTTCTGCAAGTTCCGTTTCCACAGGCATCTCTTTCACACTCATTTATGTCTAGGAGGAGCGAAAGACATAGAAAACATGAATATTAACAGAAGAGGAGGTTGCATGGTTACCTGGGGATAAAAGGCATTTTAGAGTTCATAAAGTGCCATCTGGGGGCTGAGAAGTCCTCAGTGTTGGTACGGGTTCCAGCAGTGGCAGCTCCCTGTGAGAACCCAGCAAAAGGCGGGTTTCTAACGCTGGGGAGTAAATCATTTCCTTGGCTGGCATGTGAAAGGAGGCAAGCTAAGGACATGAGAACTGGACAAGGATTATTTTATTCTATTTACTTCTAGAATCCTCCACCCTTGCCACTTTTTTCAATTTCTTTTTCACTTGCAAATGGAAAACTGTGTGAGCATCTGGGTCTTGATTTGCTGCCACCTTTGGCAAACGTCAGCCTGTAAGATTCTCACTCCAGTTTCCCAAAAAGCAGTGAGTCACCCGATATTATCCTGCAATCAGCAACAACATAAATTAGCTTTCCAACTCACCTGACATTTTAGACATTTTTCCCCCCAGTCCACCCCTAAAACCCCCACCACTCCCACCGAGAGTGACTTATCTCTCCCTCCTAAATGATCTCAAGGTGGTGTTGGCACTTAGCTCCTCTCACACACTCATGCATTATTGTTTGTCTTTTCCTTGGCCTATGACTTTTCTCTTGGACTATTGTGTAAAGCTATCTGGACATCTTATAATACATCTCACCACAGAAGCTGACATCTTTCTTATGAAGAGCAGGTGCACATTAAGGGGAAATAAGACATTTCCATGAAAGAAAGCTGATACTACTGGTTTGCAAGAGTGGGGCAGAAAGAGGAAGAGAAGGACCAAGAGAGGGAGAGGGACCGAGAGGCAACACCTCAGGTTGGCAAAGTGTGGTGTCAGGGTTAGGGTTTCCTGTCCTTTCCAATTTTGCACAGGAAGATACATAATCTGTGATCCTAAAGCAAGAAGCTATTGCTGACTCCAGGGTGACTCCAACGTGCGTGCGTGTGTGTGTGTGTGTGTGTGTGTGTGTGTGTGTGTGTGTGTCTGTGTGTGTGTGGTTGCAGATGGCATCCAGGTAAGTCACCCTGCCAGCAAGCAAGAGCTTCTGCTGAGAGTGATTCATGTTTAGCTGAGCTTTGGTAAAGTAGGTTCGTTGGTAGTGGGTTGCAGATAATTCAGATGAAAGAGACAGAAAGAATCTGGGCAGGGTCCCATTAATATGCAGGGGTTAGCTCCCCAGTGATGAGCAGGGCTGGTTATACTCCTTTCATTTAAAACATATCCTCTCTGAAGAAGACAAAACTTTATGAGACTGTTCCCTAACAGGTGACTTCAATCATAGCCAAAGGCAAGCACTTTAAGCATCATTGTATTGATTGTTCTCTTTCCAGCTGTGGAACTGATTCATGTTCATGAAGTTCCCACAAGATCTAATGGATGTTGCTTTAAAGTGGATAAAGAAAGGAGATAAAGAGAGAAAATGACTGATTACATATTTGAAGTTTATTCTAAATCGAGGTCCTGATTCAGTACTAATACTTGGGAAGAGATTTAAAATCTTGAGCTCGTTTCTCCTCAGAAAAGGTTTCTTTACTTTTTATGCCTTTGTAGCATCTGTAAATTTGCTTTTGAGGATCCAGTAAAATCTATAAACTTGTCTTAAAGAATGTTCATATTCAAACACTCATAAATATTATAAATATTATTTAAGTAAATATAAAAGAATATTATAAAAGAATAATATTATAAAATAATAACAGGCTATTAACATTAATAAAAGGTAATTTTTATCTAAATATCTTTCTAAATTTATACCTTAGTCAGAAGTTTTTTTCTGAACTAACAGCCAAATGAAATCAAGGAAGAAGTTTATGATGTTCAGATGGCCAGAGATTAAATACCAAAGGATGTTAATGCTACACATCTGCTTATGTTTTTATTTTATAAGTAGCAGAACAACTACTGAAAAGTTTAGTATTAACTATTATATATATTCAGATGCAAATGAATTTTTCAACAGGATATGAAGGAAGAATGAAATAATAATCACGTACTCACCCAAACACATGGTTTGATCAGCATTTGTTTTAAAACCAGTGTGACAAATGCAATAAAAGCTTCCGACTGTGTCAATACACTGTCCATGGCTGCATATGTTGGGGATTTCTTGACACTCATTGCGATCTGTAGGTAAAAGGCATCTTTAGCATCTTACGTGGCAGCTTCAAAATCAAACTGAATAACTTACTTCTAGGTATTTCTCCATGGCTGATCCTCGCTCTTTATAAACTAAGACAGTAAAACAGGTACAGGCATTATGTTTCTTTTTACCTCAAAACTGCTTAAAACTTATTTTCACCTCCTGGGCACATTCAGAGTTTGTTAATAATACATGAAAAAAATGAAAACAGGGGCAGTATTCAAAAAAATGTTCTGAAAGATGAGAGAACTTAGAATGGGGACGAAAAATCTAAGCTGGGAGACAACTCATTTGATTATTTTCCCAAAGCATCATCACAGGCTGTGGAATTCATTGAAGCATTTTGTCTAGAAAAGATTTGGGGCCTCAAATTATTGACCCTTCACAGCTTCCTTTGGAAATTTTTACCAAAGTCAAACAAATCCCTTTGCTAAGATAGGTTTTCATGAAGGACAACCTGCCTTGTCCCTTGTTCAAGTTTCACCTCATTGTTCTGTCTTATTCCTATAACCTTTAGTTCCATTTTAACCAAGTCTTCATGTCTACACATGGCTCCTTTCAACACTTGACAATCCTAATGATATTTCTTTCTTTTTATTCACATTCATTCAAAGGAAAGCTCTGTCATCTTGCCCAGTCTTTAAGCTCTAAACTGTATTTTTCATTAACTGAGTCTTTTAGTTGCTCTTCTGAAATCTAATCATCTACAGGGCAGAATTGACTGCACAAATCCACATGTGACATAATCACATGCTTACTTATGTCTCTAATTTAATTTTTTAAAGCTTCCAGGACATGTTTAGGTCAAACATAATTTTAGGAGCACCGATTCATCCTGATTTTCCCATTATCACAGAAGAAAGCAAAAAGCGGACCGCCCCCTTGGGTGTAGATGCTGTGGGGCACAGCAGCACCTTGCTCTCAGCCAAATAATCCACACTTGCTGCTTGTCTGCCCTGCCTACTGAGCTGGGAATGGGCACTTTCCACCACACAAAGCAGTGGTGCCCAGAAGAGATGGTATCCCCTCCATTCCATGGGCTCCGGCTGACATTTTTACAAGCACTTCCTTCCAATACACAGAACATGTAGAGTTGTGATCAATCACCATACTGTTTAAAAGTAGGGCTGAATATTTCATTAAGAGAGGAAATTGGTATAGAGCAGCTCAGGAGCTACCGCCAGCCTATGCAGAAATGCTAGTTAACTTAACAAATTCTGATTCTTCCCACTGGAGAAAATGGATTTAAAATGAGCAAACTGTTCTCTGGGATAGACAGAGGAAACTGATTTCCATCACCAAGCTCTGGGAAGGAAGTTGATTTGAGGGTGTGTCTTTGGGCCTACCATAGTTGACCCAAACCTTGAGTGCCCTCAAGGTAGTGCCAGACCTGGAAGTATGCAGGGGACTAGGTCTGTCTTATCTCTGGAGCCCCCAGGAAATATAGAATATTAAGGGTCTTCTTAGAAATGGCTCCCCAATCAGGAATTTTCTTTCCTACCTTGCCTATCTCATGATGATTTCAAAAAATTAAACATAGAGAGTACTTTGAGAGTCTACTGGTGAAACGGAAAGTTACAATCCTATAGAACTTAATGGTGAAGTTCACTTTGTTTTGAGACTAGAAAACGAGGTTTCTCAAGCATCAGGATGTGAACTCCCAGGAGATTATGTCTGAGGTTGAGATAAGAGGTTTAAACGTGGTATCTGGGGGAGAAAAACTCACATCGTCAGTGGAGAGAGGAGAGACCATGGGACAGTGGTTGGGAAGAACCTGCCTCTTGTCTTTAGCTGGGTGAGAGATTGCAGAAGGGGGCTATATTGGTGTAACTATACGACTCCTGAAGTCCCGCCAGCATCCTGGGCTTAGGTAACTAACTAATTATTCTCTCAGATCTCTCAGCAACTCTGTGGGCACTATGGCCACCAACTATGATTTTGCTTTGAAATTATGTACTGTACTGATGAATTCAAATAAAAATCTCATGATGGAAAGAAAATTTTAGTTCTTTTCATTTGAAACACAGGAAAAGAGCAGTATTTTGCATTATGTCTAAAAAATGCCATATATAGGACAGCATTGAAAGACACTAAAAATATTTTTAAAGTAAGATGTATACGAAGTCATTACCAGAATGAAGTCTTCAACCCTAAAGACTGAATAATTGCAAAATGTATGTACATTCCCTTTCTTCTGAGGATTTCAATGAAGGAGGGAAATAGAGCTTTGGCTACAAACAGCACTCTCACAGCCCTCATGGCTGGTTAATGCCTGGAGAGTTTTATTTATGTTAACTCTACGAGAAAACATGACAGGGCTTGAGCCCAGCAGGCCCTGGCTGGACATGCTATCTTAATGTATAAAGAACTTCTTGCCTGAGCGCGAAATGGTGTGAAATGGCACATTCTATATTATCAGCAACTCTTTATTTGGATTGGAATTATTTCATTCAGTTTCAAAGAAATATAAATTAAGAGCAAAATGCAGGGAAGTGGTCTCAATGCCAAGTTTCACAAGGGCATTGTGGCTCATATCAGAGACGTCCTCACTTTTCCTGTCATTTTTTAAAAAATACGTGGATAACAACAGCTCTGTTGACAAAATGCTAAACACTTGCACATGCTCCTCTAACCTCAACAAAACAAGTCTTGATTCTCAAATTGAGTTTCTGTTCTGCTATTACACCCTCTTCCCACCGAGCTCTCAGGAAACAATGCAAAATACCCTGCAGAGAGTCGTGCACTTCCTACCACTTACTCACTGGTGGGCAAGGAAATCCAAGGGGAATCTGACCATGTTCCCTTGTGTTGTTTCATTCACAAATGCATAAAATATCCAGGCAACTGGCTGTGAGATGAACCATAAGCAAAATAACACATTCTCCCTGGCCTTTTTGCTAAATATATAATGATTTATATGAAAATCATTATGAAGTATTATTTTGCTTCTGGGCTGAAATACCAGTGGTTTAATTTGATACCACTGGCTACAAGGTACCATCAGATACTTGAATACCTTTACCATCAATTTAAGTTGGCAACACGCTCATTCTCTGTACTTCTACCGCATCCCTGATACAAGTGAACAACGAAAAAACTAACCTCTGGGAGATAGTTTCTCATTTTACTGTAGATGACTCACAGCTAATAAAAGGCTGTTAATGTTTGCTGCCCTCAGTGAGTGATCTTACATCTGTACAATGTTTAGGAGGAAGAGATATACTGGGCTCTTTTTGGTTCATTTTTTGCAGGTTAATGTGCAGCTCAGGAGAGCGTTGCTGTCTAGATTTGGGGAGTGTGGCTGAGATGGTGACAACCTCAACTCTCCAAGGGGGATTATGTGGAATTAAAAAGATAAGTATTTGGTCCTGAATACTGGTTAGGGGTGTGTGTGTGTGTGTGTGTGTGTGTGTGTGTGTGTGTGTGTCTATGTGTATGAATTTTGGGTGTGGCTGTTTGCGGCAGGGTAGCAGATGGGTAAATATGAAATCTATGCATGTACATTATTTATTGTTTTGAAAACATCTCATCTATAACGAGGGGAAAAAAGGTAAGTGTTTAGACTGCAACAGTTTTGCTTTTTCCGGTTTAGTTGCTAGAACTCAGCAGTCTAAATGAAGATAACCTCGTGGCCAGCGTGGCTCAGTGGTCACAGTTCAATTCCCTGGGTTGTGGATTAGAACCCCAGTGTGGGGCGTGCAGGAGGCAGCCAATCAATGATTTTCTCTCATTATTGCTGTTTCTATCTCTCCCTCTCCCTTCCTCTCTGAAATAAAAATATTTATATATATATACAGAAATGGAGACAAGCCCCTGGGAAGGCACGTCCAGCTAATGGGGCACACTTACCATTGCACTGCCCCGTGGAAGTGAAGCGGTAGCCGGGCTTGCACTCGCAGCGGTAACTGCCGGCGGTGTTGATGCACTCGGCGTTGCGCTGGCACACCGGGCCGTTCTGACACTCATCGATATCTGCAGGCAGAAGAGAGTTAATTAGGAGGAGAACGGAATCTGGTACCCCGTCCAGGAAGCCTCGCACACAAAACAAATTTATATTTTCTCATTTTGATCAGTTTTATGAAACAGACAATGGAGGACTGAAAATGATTTTCTAATTTTCCCACCTTACTAGTATTTTTCATAAATGTTAGTATTTGACTTAGGACACATGTGGACTCTAGTGTTACTCATGTCTTTTTAAAAAGGCATGAAACTCAACTGCTACAGTCAGGACTTTACGTGAGTCCTGACAATGATCCCAGGGAATCTTGTATTTGCTTGAAGTCCCAGGGTTTTATGATTCAATCTGGTTTCTCTTGTCTGAAGATCTGGCGGGCAGAGCATCTCAAACCTCAGGGTACATATGAATTACATGGAATCTGTAGAAAGGCAGATTCTGACCAGCACGTCTGGGGGTGGCCTGAGAGCCTGCATTTCCCATAAGTGCCTGGGAGAAGCTGGTGCTCCTGGTCCACAGATGCACTTGGAGGGCAGGGCCGCAGAGGCTGCTGCTCAAATTACTGCCACATGGCAGCCAAGCCAAGGAAGCTGAACATGTTGCACATAAAACTACTGCAAACAACCCAATTCACATTATCAAAGAAAAGAATAAAATGGATATTGTGTACTTCAAAGCTTTGACTATGCTCAGGGGGTTGTTTGCATATATATATATATTTAAACAGTTTAAAGTCACTTAAATGTAATTATGTACTTCAAATTATGTAGTAAATGGAATTAAAATGTAGTTCAAATTCATGGCATCGCAAAAGTTACTGCACATTCCCGTCTATTCCATGTGGCAAAATACGTGTTCCCTGCCCCTGCTCCAATGAAATAATCTAATTCAGGCCTAAGACCACTAAAGGAAGAGCCTGCACCGCAGGTGGGAGTCAGCCCTCGGCCCTAGCACTGCGGTTTCACATAGAGTTGGCTCTGCAGAAGTTCCCACAAGGGGGCGGCAAATACATCAAATGGTGCCTCTCAGGCCTGTGCTTTGTGGCGGGAAAATGTCAGGACTG